AGAAAAGAGATGCTCTGCACAGGAGAAGGCTTGCTCTTTTCCCAGACCTGAAGCCCCAGCTGACTGAGGTGACGGAGCACAAGGTCCCTTTGTCTGCACAACAGATCTTGAGAGCGAGCTAGAAAGAGCCAGTCGTCGAGATTGAGTTGAGAGTGTGAATGCCCCCTTCCCTTAGCGGGGCACGGGTGGCCTCCGTAACTTTGGTAAAGACATGGAGATACAGGGAAAGCCTGAAGGGGGGAACCTTGTACTGATATGCCCAACCCTCGAAGAGGGGGAGGGGGCACCTGGCGAACGTAGCCGTGTCTGATTGTCTGAATGAGCCAGCAGAACGGGCTAGGAAGCATTAGCTAGACCTCAGGCTCCTTGTGAGTGGCGTCAAATGGACAATAGACGTACCTGCAGATGGGCAGCGAGGAGAGCTGGACCCTAATCCTGGAAGCATTGCATCCTGAGGAAGGGGTGGTCAGTGCATTATAGCACTTACCTGGCTCCATGGATCTCACGAGGGTGTGGCCAGAGATGCATGAGGAAGCAACGTGTCTCTGAAGCACGAGCTCTTAGCATGTGGCGTGGGGGGGGAGGCTAGGAGTGAGGAGGCATTATATCACTCACTGCCAGACCGCACCCAGTGTAACCCCGAGACTGAAGGAACTACTCTTTCATAGTGAATTTGGGTACTGCTGGCCTTTGGGCCAACGACGGAACAGAATGAAACAGAACTCTTTTTTTCCCTGCCCTTCTTTGGGGGGAGGGGAGGAGCAGTGTAACGGAGCAGTGTAAGTTAAGATAGTAAGAATGTGAGGGCCTTAGATATAGCTTTAGATGCAACTAACTTGGTGAATCCTGTACATTGTTCAGTTCCTGTTGCAGAGCCCCTGCTGCAGGGCGATTGGGTGACTGTGAGGCGGCATAGTCATGGGACAAAACACAGCTCTTCCATTCCGATCAAAACATTAAACAGGCTCTCCCCACTCACCCATCATAATATAGATACTGTCAAAGATACTAGAAAAGACAGTATCCTCACAACTATGTACCTTCCTAGAGAAAAATGGTATCTGTGAGGATTTCCAGTCAGGTATTAGTTAGACCGTACTATAGTACTGAGACTGCTCTCATCACAGTTACAAATGACCTGCTTATCATTCGATTGTGGTTGTATCTCTCTATTAGTGCTACTGGATCTTAGCGCTACTTTTGACACTATCGACCACAATATTATTTTCAATAGACTAGAAAATTATGTTGGCATTATTGCATTGGCATGATTCAAATCATACTTATCTGACCGTCATCAATTCGTAGCAGTGAATGAAGAGGTATCACATCGCTCACAAGTGCAGTATGGAGTACCACAAGGTACACAAGGTTACAAGCTACCCTTGTAAATTCCATCTTAAAACAGACTTTGACTTTTGACTTTGAAACTGAATCTCTGCTGGACCAAGCCCAAAAGGAGGCCATTCCTCTGGTGGAGCCTACACTCTGATAGGACACTGTAAGCCTGGTTCTCAAGACATGAAGGCATGAAGCACTGACTGACAGTGCTTGCAGGTCGCCCACTCACTCAAAGAGGCGTCTTGTAGATGGGGCTCTAGCCTCCAAAATGATATTAGTCACTCTCGTGGGGAGCTGTAAAGATTCCCGTTAAGGGGCCAAACTCCACAACTCGTACTGGGGATGCCAAGTCATGCCTTTTGCTTGAGAGAGGAGGTCCGTCCTCAATGGTATCGACCAGGGGGCTGCCGATAGCAGCTGAATCAACTCGGGAAACCATGTCTGATTCCTCCAGAGTGGGGCCACCAGGAGGACCAAGCACCTGATTTTCCTGACCTGTCTGATGACCTGAGGAAGCAGGTCAATCGGGGGGAAGGCATACAAACGAGCGCTGGCCCATTTGTGGGCCAGGGCATCTCTCTGCCTTGAGAAGTAAATTGGCCAGTGAACGTTGTCTTTTGAGGCAAAGAGGTCCACTTCTGCCCTCCCGAAGATAGACCATACCATTTGAACCATTTGGGGATGTAGTCTTCGTTCTCCTGGTGCTACATTGCCCGTGTACAGCATGTCTGCTCCTTGGTTCAGTCTGCCCAGCACATGAACTGCTCTCAGCGAGAGGAGGTTGCACTGTGCCCAAAAAAGAGGCATTGAGCCATCCTGTAAAGAGAGTGTGACCTGAGACTACCTTGATGATTTATAAAGGCTACCACTGCCATGTTGTCCGAGCAGACCAGGAAGTGGTGCCCCTTTAAGACTAGCTGAAAAGTTTTTAGGGCTAGAAAAACCACCATCATCTCGAGGCAGTTGATGTGCAAGCATTGCTCCCGGTTTGACCAGGAGCCGGACACCAGTCTGCCCTCGTACAGTGTTCCCCAACCCCGAGTTGGAGGCATCTGTCGTAAACACCTTCCTGCTTTAGGTCAGTCCCAGCGGGATGCCTGACTGAAAAAGGCGAGGGGTTTTCCAAGGTGTCACAGCTCTTATGCAGCGTTGGGTTACCTTGAGATGAAAACGTCCCAGGCACCAAGCATGGGGCATGGCAGGCATGGCACCCCAGCCTGTCTTGTTATAAGAACAACATGGCTGGACACTTGTTCTAAGGGTACTCCTGCCCTTAGAAAGTAAAGGTCTGACCAAGAGCCGAAAGTCTGGTGACAACTCAGCTTAATGGACACGCTGAGTGTGCTATGGCGCCATGCCCATCTTGGGACTCGGCCGAATAGCCAGTGCTGAAGCAGTCTCATATGTAACAATCTGAGTGGCATTACCACAGCTGTGGATGACATATGCCCCAGGAGCCTCTGAAATTGTTTCAGTGGAACCGCTGTTTTCCTCCTGAATGCATTCAGGCAGTTCAGCACTGACTGGGCATGTTTGTTTGTGAGACATGTCATCATGTTGACTGAGTCCAACTCCATACAGAGAAAAGAGATGCTCTGCACAGGAGAAGGCTTGCTCTTTTCCCAGACCTGAAGCCCCAGCTGACTGAGGTGACGGAGCACAAGGTCCCTTTGTCTGCACAACAGATCTTGAGAGCGAGCTAGAAAGAGCCAGTCGTCGAGATTGAGTTGAGAGTGTGAATGCCCCCTTCCCTTAGCGGGGCACGGGTGGCCTCCGTAACTTTGGTAAAGACATGGAGATACAGGGAAAGCCTGAAGGGGGGAACCTTGTACTGATATGCCCAACCCTCGAAGAGGGGGAGGGGGCACCTGGCGAACGTAGCCGAGTCTGATTGTCTGAATGAGCCAGCAGAACGGGCTAGGAAGCATTAGCTAGACCTCAGGCTCCTTGTGAGTGGCGTCAAATGGACAATAGACGTACCTGCAGATGGGCAGCGAGGAGAGCTGGACCCTAATCCTGGAAGCATTGCATCCTGAGGAAGGGGTGGTCAGTGCATTATAGCACTTACCTGGCTCCATGGATCTCACGAGGGTGTGGCCAGAGATGCATGAGGAAGCAACGTGTCTCTGAAGCACGAGCTCTTAGCATGTGGCGTGGGGGGGGGAGGCTAGGAGTGAGGAGGCATTATATCACTCACTGCCAGACCGCACCCAGTGTAACCCCGAGACTGAAGGAACTACTCTTTCATAGTGAATTTGGGTACTGCTGGCCTTTGGGCCAACGACGGAACAGAATGAAACAGAACTCTTTTTTTCCCTGCCCTTCTTTGGGGGGAGGGGAGGAGCAGTGTAACGGAGCAGTGTAAGTTAAGATAGTAAGAATGTGAGGGCCTTAGATATAGCTTTAGATGCAACTAACTTGGTGAATCCTGTACATTGTTCAGTTCCTGTTGCAGAGCCCCTGCTGCAGGGCGATTGGGTGACTGTGAGGCGGCATAGTCATGGGACAAAACACAGCTCTTCCATTCCGATCAAAACATTAAACAGGCTCTCCCCACTCACCCATCATAATATAGATACTGTCAAAGATACTAGAAAAGACAGTATCCTCACAACTATGTACCTTCCTAGAGAAAAATGGTATCTGTGAGGATTTCCAGTCAGGTATTAGTTAGACCGTACTATAGTACTGAGACTGCTCTCATCACAGTTACAAATGACCTGCTTATCATTCGATTGTGGTTGTATCTCTCTATTAGTGCTACTGGATCTTAGCGCTACTTTTGACACTATCGACCACAATATTATTTTCAATAGACTAGAAAATTATGTTGGCATTATTGCATTGGCATGATTCAAATCATACTTATCTGACCGTCATCAATTCGTAGCAGTGAATGAAGAGGTATCACATCGCTCACAAGTGCAGTATGGAGTACCACAAGGTACACAAGGTTACAAGCTACCCTTGTAAATTCCATCTTAAAAATATATCTAAATTACAACCTATGCTTTCATTGTCAAATGCAGAAACGTTAATGTGTTCATGACCTCAAGGTTAGATTATTGTAATGCTCTATTGGTTGGTTGTTCTGCATGCTTTATGAACAAACTCCAGCTGGTTCAAAATTCAGCGGCTAGAGTTCTTACAAGAACCAGGAAGTATGACCATATTAGCCCGGTTCTGTCAACACTACACTGGCTCCCTATTAAGCATCATATACAATTAAAAATCTTGCTAGTTACTTATAAAGCCCTGAATGGTTTAGCTTCTCAGCACTTCAGCTAGCTCTTACCACATTATAGTCCTTCACGTCAGCTGCAATCTCAAAACTCTGGCCATTTGATAATATCTAGAAAATCAACTGCAGGCGACAGATCCTTTTCCTATTTAGTGCCTAAACTCTGGCTTTCTTCGTTTTGTACAGACACTATTTAAAGAGGACTGAACTGAGCTGGATGATGACATCGCTAAATCAACAATGAGCTGACTTTGACTGAAAAATTTACTGTTTACTATTGTCCTCCTGCTGACACACAATTTTCTTGTTTAACACTGTAAAGCTGCTCTGACACAATCACAAAAGTATTGCATAAAGTGTTATATAAATAAAGGTGACTTGACTTGTATTCACCACCTCCAGTTCCCTCTATCTCCAGATCACCCGAGTCAGGGCCACTTCGCTGTCCACTTGGAGGGCTTAATGGCTGACTGGGGGCACGGGCTCCATCGCCTTCCTGGGGGTGGCCCAAAGTTGCAGCTGATGCCGTGCCGGAGCAGATGCAGAAACCGCAGCGGGATGCTTTTGGTGATGAACAGACTGGGGACCAGCCCTCAGCGGCCTGGTGGTGGTGGTCACACACCGGGGCATGATGTGTTTGATGGCCTCCGTCTGTTTTCTGTATGTTTGAGATCTATGACAGTGTCACCAAAAAGGCTGGCTCGGGAGATGGGTGCATCAAGAAAGTGCACTTTGTCAGCGTCGCACATCTCTGCAAGGTTCAGCCAGAGATGGTGCTCCTGGCCCACCAAAGTGGACATGGCCTGGCCGAGGGCCAGTGCTGTGACCTTATTCACCCAGAGGCAAAGACAGTCACCGTGCGCGGTTCCAACATCAACCCTTGTTCAGAACAACCCCCGTGCAATACAGTGCTTTGGCCTGATATATTTGCAGGATGGCCATTGTATGCAAGGTAGAGGCGGCCTGTTTAATGGTGAGTAAGTCTAAGCAGCAAAAGCTGACATCAGCTCACCGGCCCAGGATAGGAGGCATGCATGATTCTCCTAGACGGTGGCATTTTGCTGCACTGCAATCGCACTCTCCTCCTGAGGAGTCTCTGCCCACTCCCAGGTGGCCCCACCATCAAGGGTAGTGAGGGTGGAGGAGGCTGTGAAGCAGCTTCGGGCAGTAAAAAGGTGAATTAGAATTTGAAAGGTTGGAGAATTCCACTCCAGCTCGATGGCGGCCTGGGAAAACACGGAGTCAGACTCCGACTGAGCAATCAGCCCAAAGGGGTGACGCTGAGCTGAGGCTTAATCATCAGGGGACACTGGCTCACCCTCCGATGCAGCGATCAAAATCTGATCCTCCTCGGGAGCCCAGAATAACATGCAAGATCGGTCATGAGACAGTGCAACAGCATCACTCGGGAGCACAATGGTATGTGACGAGCAAGAGTAGTGGGAGGACCGTGGGGACTGACCCGGTGGAAAGCTTGCGCTATAATCCTCTGATCTACCAGAGCGCTAGTCAGTGTGAAGCTGAGTAGAGACAGAGGGAACTCAAACCTTCATGAAGAAGGAGAGTCATGATCGTGGCGTTGCTATGGTTATGCTCTCACAGCGACAGCATAAACCATCCACAAATGCAGTCTCAGCATGCTTCTCAGGCACTTGAGACTGCGATTGTGGCCATCAGAAGAGGCCCGAAAACAATTGCATCAAGAAACGCATGGATGGAGGCATGTTTAAAAGATAAGTGATGCACAGTGGCCCCCCAAAATATTTGAACATTTAAAAGTTACACTTAAAAATAATGCCATTGTGTCAGATTAAAAAAATATCATACCAAGTGTCAACTCTATAGCTTTTCTCAGAAATAATTTTCTGTTTCAGTTTTGATCTGAAAAGGTGTTTTAGTTGATGTATGTAATAAGTTCTCCTCAAGTTCACCGGTGTCCTATCAGAGTAACCATAGTATGGTTCAGGGGTGGGGAATGGCAGTCCTGGAGAGCCACAGTCCTGCAGTGTTTTGCTCCTATATATATATATAATTTAAAAGGTCACTTAGTTTGCAATAAATTTATCAAAAGTGACAGTAAAGACTTTTACATTGTCACAAAAAAAACTATTTCAAATAAATGCTGTTCTTTTACATTTTCTATTCTTCATAGAATCCTAAATAAAAACACTACCATGGTTTCCAAAAAAAAAATTTGATCAACATCGTCATTGATCAAAACCGTTTTAACATTGATACTAATAAGAAATATTTCTTGAGCAGCAAATCAGCAAATTAGAATGATTTTGAAGACTGGAGTAATGGCTGCTTAAGATTCAGCTTTGCCATCAATACATTTCAATACAATTATAAAATAAAAACAATTATTTTAAACTATAATAATATTTAGCAATATTACTGTTTTTACTGTATTTTTTAATCAAATAAATGCAGCCTTCATGAGTATGGTAGGCTTCTTTCAAAAATATAAAAAAAATTACAGACTCCAAACTATAGTGTACATGCACCTATTTATAAAATATATATTATGTATTGTGATTCAATATATGCAGTCAACTATAATTTATTTGAGCTTTAAATGGTTACATGGTGAATGCATCTTGAAAGCTGCTTCTCAGTCAAGGCCACTGAAATTTAATTATTGCCTCTTTTCCACTCTAAATACAGACTTCTAGCAAACTACAAAATGTTTAGTACTCATCCTTTATCACTCCAGATTCAGATATTTCTCAGCAAATCTTAGCGCAGATAGGTCTATCACTAGTATGCGTGGTCTAGCAGTTTGATGCTTGGTCACATGACACCATCATTTCTGTATGGCTCACAGCTGCTGTTGATTGCCTGCTGCTAGCTGCTTTCTGGGCAATCTACTGCCATCCAGGTAGCAGAGAGGGTCACTGTTGATGTATTCCTGAGTGTCCTGTCATGAACAGAGTGGAGAGCTGTGAGATTGATGGATCCCATCATGACACTCTGTGAACAGGGGTGAACTTGACTCTGGATGGTTGGTTCTCTACAGAACTGGATTATCAAAGAATTTATTCTTGGGTTACAGACTTTCTAAAGGACAATATTTGAAGAGTTAATTTGCAAAAACCAATAACTCCATTGTTTTTTAGTTTTTTTTTCAGAATTTTTTTTTTTTGCGCATTCCAAGTAATATCAATCAAACTGCAGTTTGGTTGTTTTGCTTAAGTAATAATAACTTAAACAAATACAGGTAATTTACTAAATTAAAGTTAACTCCAACAGTCGTTTTTTGACAAAAGCAGATAACTCCACATTTCATGTTTTAGAGTTTAAAAAAACACTCGTTTAATCTTTGTAATCTCCTCAGATGACAATGTAGATGCCTGACAAGCGTTGTTGTTGTTGTTGTGATCATAAACTGTATGGATGTTATTACACGCAATACACTGAGCTTTTCCCTCACCATTGTAACATGCTGCTTTTGCAAGGTTCCGTGAAAACGTTTCAGCTTTTATTTTCCTTTTTCGCCCTGAAGAAGATATCACAGGTTCATCAAGTTCGTCGAAATTATCCATCCTCGATCACTTTTAGTCAGCTTTGACAAAACTCCTCTCAACTAGCACGTCTTTTCAAAGTGAAAGTAGCCTTTTTGTCACCTGACCTGAATACAGCGCGCTGATTCGCTAGAATTGACTTGTCGGCTTCTGTTCAAAAACAACAAGGGCGATTGTCGGCTTCTGCAGTAAAATGTAACCCTAGAGCACAAAACCAATCTTAAGTCGCTGGGGTATATTATCGATTTTTCTTTTATGCCAAAAATCATTAGGATATTAAGTAAAGATAATGTTCCATGAAGATATTTAGCAAATTTCCTACCCTAAATATATAAAAACTTAATTTTTGATTAGTAATATGCATTGCTAAGAACTTAATTTGGACAACTTTAAAAGCGATTTTCTCAACATTTAGATTTTTTTGCACCCTCAGATTCCAGATTTTCAAATAGTTGTATCTCGGCCAAATATTGTCCTATCCTAACAAACCATCTTATTTATTCAGCTTTCAGATGATGTATAAATCTCAATTTCGAAAAATTGACACTTAAGACTGGTTTTGTGGTCCAGGGTCACAAATGTGAACTCGCGATTCATTGAAAATGGACAAAACTGGCTTTTTTGACAAAACGTGTTTAGGGTTCAGATCGTGCTATATGTGGAGAATAATGCACGGCAATCAGCTCTTTTTTTTTTTAAAGTGGCGTTTATCGGTTTTTGCAAATTAACTCTTCATTTGTTGTTCTTAGTCATGCTGGAGAGGCACTTTGTATGAATACAATTTGTCGCTATTTACATCTTGGTGCAAATAAGATGATATTTATACTATTTTTACTTGGTGCAAATGTTATCTGCCACTGTTTACACTCAGTGTAAATTGCATCCATGTTTTTATACTTACTGTGAATAGCCTCTGTAATAAAATCAATTTAATTGCAAATGTAGTGGCAGTGGAATAGATATCTAACACCTAACATGTGTCCGCATGTGTACATGCTCTGCAGTACAATCAGCTCATTCTTCATCACTCATCCTCAAGTATACAGAGGCAGGCAGGTAATCACATAGCTGAAAGATTAGTAAGACATCAGTACATTATATATAATAATTGGAATCATCAGTAACAGTACTGGGTTTGAGTAGATGCAATTTACTTAAAAGGCCCACGAAAGACTGGAAATTCTCTACATAAATTTAATTTTTTTTTAAATAATTTTTATAATCATTCAATGATTCACAACTTTTTTTGTCTTTTTAGTAATTTTCATGTCTTCTTTGTTCTTCTTTTAGGAATAGAAATGTGTGTACGCAGACACTGCTATGTTAGTATGTTAGTTTTTATGGGTAACTTTCACAGTGCAATCTGTTGAGGTTTGTTTTGCTTTTTGCCGCCCCTGCACCCGAGCATTAGTTATCATAAAGATTTGTTTTTATAACAAAACATTTATTAGCAAGTTTTTATTCATTCTGATATGTAAATCTATAATAAAGTGACTTTGTGGTTACTGAAAGGTTGTTTGGAAACTTGAAAATAAGAAGTGTTTCTTAAGTAATATAGCTTTAAAACATTTTACATAATATAATTTTGTTCGATTTTGCTGTATTTGGCTGAACAGTGGTTTGGGTGGCTCACCAATGTACTAAATTTCTCTACTACATAAAATAAGTAAGCATGACCAGAGTTCTTGTGGGGAGAATAATTTATTCAACAGGTCTTCAACAGCTATCTAAGCTTGTCAGTTTTCAAAAAATCTTAACCCTTATAAGAATCTTAGCTTCTCCCAAAGTTCTGTCTGTGAGACAGAACTTTATACCTGAAGACAAAAGGGCTACAAACATACAGTTAGGGCCTCCCGCTAGAGATCCTGCAATCTACAAGAAGTTCATGAGGAATGGTGTTGTGTGGACCATTTGGTTCACACCTTTACGGACCGTTTCTGTTGATT